ACCTGCAAGTTCCCTGGGTTGCTAAGTCATAAATGCTTTTGTTATTATTTAGATCTTTATTAAACTATAAAGTTACCAGTAGGCGATTCGGGTTTTGTGGTGATTGGCGCTTGCGTTATTTTAATTATTTCATTAATTAAGAAAGCGGCTAGCAAGCGCCATGGGTTGTGTGGTGATTGGTGCTTGAATTTTTCTCATTATTTTATAAATTAACAAAACAACCAGTAAGCGCCCAAACTTGCCTAGTTATTGGCCTTTGTGTTAGTTTATTTATTTTATTAATTAACAAAGAGGCCAGTAAGCGACCCGGGTCGTGTGGTGATTGGCGCTTGTGGTATTTTGATTATTTTATTAATAAACAAAGTGGCCAGTAAGCGCTTCGGGTTTTGAGGTGATTGGTGCTTTTTTTTATTATTTAAAGCATTAAATTTTAAAGTGGCCAGTAGGCGTTCCAGGTTGCTGGGTTAAATAGCATTGGGTTATTGCGTTTAATAGTTTGGTGTTTATTTATTTATTATGTTAGAAATTCTGTCGAGATATGTGGGTTTTTTGCGTTTTGCTCCATTTAGCCCATTTGAATTTTGCGCTTCTTTGGATGCCTTTCGGAGCACTGCGAGTACTAACCTCCCCCACCGTTGACAATGTGCGGGAAAGACAGGAGCCGTACCAATCGTACCATATAACTTTAGAAAAATACATAAGAACGAGCAGTCTGTACCTATGTTTCTGTGTCTATGCTTGACCCACTGTAGCGGCTGCAGCCCGGAGATACTTATAGACCATGAGCTGAGGCCGAAGGGTGGTATAAATTATAACCAGCCGCCACTTTTACCAGAATTTACGGATCTTAAGATTCGGATAGATCCAAAATATTTCGGTCACATTTTATTCTGATGAAAAGTTGTGGTAATTATATTAGTGCCATGTGATATTTTTTATTAACCAGCCGCGACTTATGAGGCTCTTTTACCGTCAAGCTTGAATCAGATGGCGCCAGGGCACGTCGCGGCTGTCATGGCCGTCTCACTAACACAACATTACTTTTCAGTATTGTATGTACATAGGAAAGTAAAGTGTAGTGGTAAAGCGCAATATTTGAAATTTTGAAATGAATAAGGAAGACAAGAAAGAATATTATGGGAGCTTAAAAGTTTCAGAATTGAAAAAGCTTTTAAAAGGGAAAGGAGCAAGAGTCAGTGGAAGAAAAGCAGAACTCGTGGAGGCAAAGTGGTCGAGGCATAAGCCATGACTTGGGAGCGGCAAAAATGTTGGTCTCCCAATTGCTTCGAGCCACTTTTTTTTTATCACACTATCAGATGGAAATTTAAATTTCACTTTCTTATCGCAGGATATTACACTGCACTTCATTTTTCCTACTATCTTTAAACGTAAATGCAAACAAAAATTGTCTGCAAACAACAGCAATCATTTACAAAGGTTATGTCTTCTGCTTTGCTCATTACACAGATAGGCTCACGAACACAATACACAACTGTAAATTTGACGGTGTGTAAGTGCGACGGCCATAACAGCCGCGACGTGCTCTGGCGCCATCTGATTCAAGCTTGACGGTAAAAGAGCCTCATACCAATGGATAGAAAATAAAAAGTTGTTATCTGAAAGTGCTATTTGTGGTAGGATTAGAACGCATTTTGTACCCGAAAATCGACCTTCAAAAAAATAGACCCCCTACCCAATCTTATCTATAATACTAATCTAAGATAATATGTGATGCATTGTAGATAACATCATAGATACGAGTACAGTATCTATATTTTTGGAGGTCGATTTTCGGGTACAAGATGCATTCTAATCTTGCCGCAAATGGCACTTCAACGTGACAACTTTTTATTTTCTATCCATTGTTGTTAGCTGCGGCTGGTCAATAAAAAAGACCATATAGCACTACTGTAATTACCACATAACTCTTTACCACAATGAAATATGACTGAAATATTTTGGATCTCCACAAATCTTAGGGTTCCTTAATTCTGGTGAAAGTAGCGGCTGGTTAAAATATTGACCACCCTCGGGCCTTAGCTCTTGGTCTATTAGCGTATCTGCGCATGTGAATTAATGTCCACTGTTTATAATTCAATATAACTCGTGATCGAAAAAAAAAATCGCAAAACCACTTCAGATCTCTACGAATTATGACGATTTTCAACTTCTGTAAAAGTTGCGGCAGGTACTTATTTTTTACATACTTTGGACTCAGCTCTTTAGTCTATAACTTCCCGAATCACCACTGCTTGAGTCAACGAGTGATGGTCTCTGCCGTCTCTGGTCGACTGCTGTACAAACCATGAGGTCGTGCAGTAGAAAACTTCATTGGTGGATAAGTGATTGAATAATTTTAATTCATTCGATTAAATGATTTAGGAAAAACTAAATAGCTTAAAGATCCAAGTATCCGAGTGAGGAAAGAAACGCTTCAAGGACAATGTCCAACCACGAAATCGAAGAATCGGCTTGCCCGGGTAGTCCGCTCGCTGCGGCTTTTTGTAGAACAAGAGCTGCTAAAGCAGGTGCTCACGGCGGTTACAAGGAAGTTTACCCGGCATCCAATTTTAAATAACGCATGGTAAGCGCTTTCTTCGTTTTTTTTTTTTTTTTCAGCAAGTAATACTAAATTTTTTTCTGTACTTGCTCGTGAAGTAATTTCCATTTCTATCTTGAATTCTGTCTTCCTTTGTTCATGCATTTGTTCACTTATTGTTCCTTAATTTTTACATTACCTGAAGGCTGAATCATCTCGGTCTAAAATTTCGTAAATGTGCTTATGTGCGTTACAAGAATGTATTATGTGTGTATGGCTTCGTAGTTTCTATAAGTTCGCCAGGTAGGTATATACCACGTGCACGAGGCACTGCCACGAGGCGTACACGTGCCACGGGCAACATTCTTTTTTTCTCTCTTTCCCCATTATGCCAAGTAAATTGATAATGCAAGTATTAAACCATTATTAAGTGAAATTGTATTACATTACCTAGTACAGTCCCAAAAATCAAGCAGTACTTACTACTTTATTGAGTGTGGCCAGAGACGCGTATCAATTTCCTCTTCTACTAATAGGTACCTGATAGTAGTTTATTTTCCGTCCTATCGGTATATACGATACTTATCCAAATACACTCGCACTCAATTTTCAAGTAAAAAATTATATTAGCATCTTTCTGCCATATTATGTTTCGAGAAGACCAATTTATTTTACTTCATTTGTGGTAGAAAATCTGTAGACGGAGTTAATCAAACGAGTGAAGTGCGTCATTTACCGTATTGTGTCTCAGTCTTGTAAGTTATGGCTGGGTGCTTTCGTTATGGGAAAAATATTAATCAATAAACTGATATTTACTTTGTGCTGAGATACCATAACTGGAAAGGACGAAACTGAAGTACATAAATAGAAGATTTGTACAGTATTTTTTTAAAAATCGTTAAATTCGCAACGTATACCCTTGAAAATTGCTGTACCTTAGCCCATATGGTAAAAATCATTTTAAACTCAATATCTTGAAGACTAGTACCAATGCATGATCCAAAAAAAAGTACCTAACGTATTTCATATATTCAAGAAAAATTGGATTCGTCAGTGGCGATGGATAATAAAAGTATTAAAGATCTAACGTGTACGAATGTTGGCTACAGCATGGTCGATTTTTACAAATGTTTGTGGCTCATACCTTAACGATATTCCAAGGTTTTATACGAGATCGTTATTTTTTATAAAACGAATTTAAAAATCTCGTATTTGTACAATATGTGCATTTAATTCTTTTTTTTACAAGTTCGGTATTTATAACTTGCGTCAAAAAATTTTATAAGAAATGTCCAAAAATAATTTCTAACATTCAGCACGCGGTACCGTAAGGGAACGTAAGCTGTTCTTGGCCACTTGGGTCAGCTTGGCCCCGATTAGATTGTTTAAATAATTTTTTTTTTTTTTTTAATGAAAAATATTTGTTACTCTAGTTAGAGTGAAGAAAGTCTCAAATCCCATGTTTCGTTTAAATGGTATCCGAACTGTTAAGTTAATTATGAAGTGCTTTTTCTCGGCTGAGAGGCCTAATTAAACGTTTACTACTAATAACCCATTAACCCATTTAAGAATGGAAAAAGTGTTCGTGTCTAGACACTTTTATAAATTTATTTTTATCTTCCAATAATATGATAGTTTCGATTCAGGACGCGAATACTTCAGAGGGCCATTTTTAGAATAACTTTCAACATAATAACCTTACGAGAATCTAACGTCTGTCGGGATTCATTACCCTGATCAGTCAGCCCATCTCTGTTAACTTATGAGTCTCGATGAGGCTTTTAGACCACGCGGATGAAGCTGTATTTTATATTAGAAGAAAACATGAACATGAGATCTTTAAGCAAGCTATAGGTAATTAGACAAAATCCAGATTTCGGGGACAGTCACGCCTCTCCTTATAGCTATGTGGCTCTGCCGTGCTCCTCAGGACAAAAAGGTACTTGGTAGGTAAGTATATAAATTATTGGTCAAGGGCGAGGCAAAAACTTTACAGCGGTAAGCGGCAACCATACGATAATTCGACTTCGACACTGTCGAATTGACAGTAATATATATTTTTCGTCTCCCGGATGCAGCGCCATCTTGCGCCTCGGCAACTCCAGAGTCCAGTCCCCCACTTCCCTCAGTGGCTGCGCGCGCTCGTCTTCCGTCTCTTGTGGAAATCGCCATAGCTGATGCTTTCACAATTCTTCCAAAGCTTGCCGGACCACGCGACGATAGGTACGACATACATACCGTTCATGGACTTGAAAGGGAAGCCACGAAGAAGTGCTTCTCGGAAGTCCGCACGTCCGCAGGGCTCTATTGAAATTTGGTTGAAGGTTGCGTGCTAGTGTGCCTAGTGTACATGCGATCTGGTGGACTGGTGGTCGTGGAGGACATACGCGCGTGCGCGGTCAACTGGACCAGAAGTGTGTGTGTGTGTGTGTGTGTGTGTGTGTGTGTGGTCAGAGGCGGCCATTTTGTTTGAGAAAAGCTGCCCGCGCGCACCAACCTTAGCGCGAGACGACGACTACACAGCAGCAACGAGGTCGCCGGTGGCGCCGCCGTCGCCATCATCAGCTAATGACCTGTGCGCGCTCTTTCGTTTCTTTCTCGCGCGCCATGCCATACATAACGTAACGTATAAACAGAGGCCTCCAGCTATCAGCGCGCGCAGCTCTTCCTCGAGAGCGAGGTCGTACAGCAGCCAAAACCACATGATGCCGTCCTGCTAGAGATCTCTCGGGCGTCTTGTGTTTTACTGGATCCAAAACCGCTGTCCCTTTCCCCTGCCAAGACAACGACATTGTTTTGGGCGCCTTCGTAATATCCCTCCGTCTGTCACTGGAGCCAGAAGCAACTATCGAAGTATCTAGAACTACAAGGAGACTGGCTATTATTAGTCTCCACGGATGGCTCGACAACGCAAACATCCGCTGATTACGCCACGGTAAGTCGTCGTGCACGACGTCTCCATCTCGAGCCACACTCCTCTTCAACAAACATACATAGACATAACCTTACCCGCCTGCCTTCCCCTCTGGCTACGCTGCTTGTGCGTGTATTAGTAGTGCATGTGAATTCTTTCCAAAATGGCCGCTAGCGAGCTTTCTTTGTGCGACCGACGCTGTTCGTGGTTCATGTGGCTCGGGCGCGGGTCGAAGGCAGTGTAGTTAAACGACGGACGCAGGTCGCGGCCGCGTCACCTACTCTATTCGAGAACCTTGTCAGAGGATTGCGTGCGTATTTTAACTTCTAGGCCATTAGATGTTCTGGTGATGGTTACTACTGTCCACGGAGCGTTGACACAAACATACACATCCACACATCTGATACACGTATTTACAAAACGTATTATTTTCTAACAAGCCTACTAGATAGCATCTACAAACGTGTTTTTTTTGTTTCCCTTCCTCAACTACTTGGCTTGGTATGCTTGGCTACTGACTCGCTCTCTGCCGTTGGCACTAACTAGTTACTCCCTACGTAAATACATACAAGCTAATATAAAAATATATATATGTAATTTGTACTCACCCAGCTCTCCTTGTTGAATTATCGGTCGCAGCCGCGCTCGTTCGATATTGAATATTGGTATTCGTCTGCTATCTTTTTCACCATAAGTTGAAGCTCTTTTTTTTCTTTTTTTTTCTGCTAAGTGCAAAAGTGATTTTTTTTTGTATCTATCCTAGTGTCCCAGAAAGACGTGAGCCCTTGAAGACAGCCAACACAGAATCCGTTCTCTAGATTCATTTACGTATTCATCCGAACGATATTTTTTTATGTTCACAAACGTCAATTTGTGTGCATCTGTGCGTGCTGTATCGAGTTGGTGGTTTGCCGGTTCATGCTTGTTCGCACGGCTATTTTAGAATTTTTTTTTTTTGTTAGCAAAGAGAAAACATCGAAAAACTAAGTGTTTAAACGCTTATTTCGAAATCCGCTTCTTTCTTCTGCTGTAGATATTAGTGTTAACGTAAATTTTATAAAAAAAATTCTGCAATACGCAAGTGATGAAAGATTTTATGATTGTGTATGAGCGTGCAATGTTATTTTTTCAGTACTATGAATAAACTCCAAATCTGAGTATATACCTTAACCTTTCCAATATGCTGTTTCGGTCTTTTTTTTTCCACGATAAGTAGAGTACACTCTTTTTGTTCCTCCCGTTAATGCATACTGCTAGAGACTTTTGTCTTGTTATATTTTTTCTTTTTACTGATCACCAACAATGTTTTTAGTGTTCTCGGTATAACTTTTTCTAAATAACTTTATACACAAAGCTTGAGTATACGACCTTGTGTTATGAGACATGCAAATGAGACATTTAAATAAGATATTTAAATTTTTTACCACATCATTGATCTGCATTTAAATATCTTGCCTTCATTGTTACGAGTGTCTTGTTTAATGAAATGTTTTCAATTATATCCTTTTTTTTTACTTTCTAAAATTCATCCCTGATATGTTCAAAAGTTATAACATTAAGAACGAGGTTAAGCGTTTTTTAGTGTAGTCCCACAGCGCGTAATAGAGCTGCAAAACCGAATGAGCCAATCAGAGCTATTGCGCGCCTTTCCATTTTGCTTAGACAAAGTTAGCTTAATTTACATGGGTAGGAAAGACTGATGTGTGCGCAATCCGTTAAAACCCGTGAGTGCAAGTGAGATAAAAGTACATCCAACCTCTCACTTGCACTTACGGGCTTAAATGGGTTGCGCATCGATGTTTTCCAGCCCACGTGAACGGGGTGAACTTTGGCTGAGCAGAATAGAAAAGCGCGCAATAGATTTGATCATTCCTCAAGGGATCACTAGCTATGATTGGCTCGTTCGATTTCGCTCTTTTGCGCGCCGTGGGACTGCACCCTTACATTAGCAGTCTAAATTTTAGACTGAATACTAAGTATAATAAATAATGTATGGTTGAAGCTTGGTTCAAAGGGTGTCAGGGCCACTTTGTCTTGATACCTATATGTATGTATTCATAACAAAGGACCACAAAAAAAATAAGTGGAAGGGTCCCTTTCAGCAACAATGCATTTCTTATGTATTTTGAGGCGCTGACTTCATTCCCATTGTCTAAATTGCTCTATCACATCAAAATTCTTTTTTATTAACGAAGAACGTGCTTATAAGCGGTAATGCTTTTATTTCAGTAATTAAAGTAGTCCCCATGTTAACAAGTGTAAAAAATTGTGATGTGACAGAGCAATTTAGACAATGGGAATGAAGTCAGCGCCTCAAAATACATAAGAAATGCATTGTTGCCGAAAGGGACCCTTCCACTTATTTTTTTTTTTGTGGTCCTGTGTTATTATCCATGAATCTCTGAGTGAAAGCTGGCTGTGTGTGATACTGTGTACATAACACATACGTAGCATAGCATATCCATGTATACATGTATACACCACTCCGGAGCATCTCACGGATAGGCGTCCAATAATTTTTTTTAGGTACTAGACAAACCAAATAAAAGTTTTTTTTCGTTGCAACATCCTAATTCCATGCGCCACAAATTCGTCTCATATGACAAGTTGTCTACCAAGTTTGATACATTCCAATAATCCTTACTTAAAACACGTATTTCACCAAAAACAATTGAGTAAGCAGTATATCTTATAGAAAAAACATTTTGGTTTTCAGTATCATGTGTGATGAGTGATAAACAAGGGGCACCTACTTTGCCGCCCCTTTCTGGGGGTGGAGGAATTATTAATGGGGGGAGCAATGGAGGTGCACCGCAGCAAACAGTTAGTTTTCAGCAAGTCTTTGCCAACGTTATTTCATCAGCTAATGTACAACAGTTTGTACTTGCATCCCAAGTTCCAGGTCCTACCCAGGTAAATCTTGTTAGTTGAATTACTCTCACACTAGTTAAGGTTTCAATAAAAATTAAAAGAATTCTTCAAATATTTAAGACTTCAAATTACTATCTTGTATGCTAACTTTTTTTTCTGTTGCCAAACATTCAACACAAATTACATTTTATTTTTTGAAATACTGTATTAACAAGTATTTTTTTTCACAATTTTTATAATTATGTTTAAAAAATATGGATAAACTACTAATAATTAATGATTTCAACTTATTCTGTAATATTACATCTCAATATCTTGGAAAAAAAAGCTTCTAAAAATTCGTTAACACATGATACTCTGTACAAAAAATTTGAGTATCTTGAACAATTTTAGCATAAAAATAAGTTGTGTCAGTTATGCTACATTAAAAATTTTATACTTTTAATGTTCTAAAGGTGGAGCTAATATTATACTGGCTATTTTAACTATGTAAGTAGACTGGACACGTAATTCATTAAACACGTGGTTGATTTTGTCTAGAGATATAAACAATTTTGAGTTTTAAAGCTAAGCAAGGCAATTAATAAATGATCAAGGAGATTTTGTTGGTGTTTGTTACCAAAAAGTAGTTAAAGAAAAAAATTCTATGGCGAATTTAGAATAGCTTTTTTCTCTCTCTAGATATTGACGTATTAACAAAAAACTTTAAATTACTAAAAAAATTTCAGTATAAATTTTTATTAATTTTTGATGACAGCAGAATTTTTTGGTTAATTATGAATCTACTAAAATGGTTTCAGTTTTTTTGATAAATATATAGAAGCTAATAT